AAGACGAGAGTCACCATATCGATCTGACCGTCCTGACGAGCAGGAGCGGTTTAGAGGATCATATCGACCCGACGAGCAGCGGTTTCGAGGACGAAGACGAGAGTCATATCGACCAGACCGTCCTGAGGAGCAGGAGCGGCAGAGAGACTCGGTGGAGGTGCCAGATGGTTGGGGCTGGCGGGAAGATGGCTTAAAGGAGCCGTGGAACGCGCCCTGGTACAAGAAGATGATGTCACGTGGTCAAGTTCCTTTGGTTGGCATGGAGAGTGAGCTCAAAACCTTAGACCGGAAGCTCATCCAAGACTTTGCAGATGCATTGGACCAAGGAAAGGTGGAGGTACTGGAGCAGTCCAATATTTCAGCTGCAAGAAGTCGATACCAGGTGAGCCATCCATCTGAACTCGGGCGCATCGAGCGAAAGCTTTGGAAAAGCCTGCCTGCGGAGGAGAGGCCGACGCTGTTTCCACACTTCCGGAAGGCCTATGATTGGGATGCACAGGAGCAAAAGAAGGGCCAAGCACCAGAGCACTTCTTCTCCCAGAAGCAATGGAATGAGGTTGCCGAAATTACCGAAGAGGTTGCTGAACTCGCCAAGAGCATGCAGTTGCCGCGGCCTTCCAGGATCCAATTCTTGAGCTTTCAGGAGATCGCCAAGGGTGAATGCTGTGTAGTGGCTGATCAGTCAGGTTCAGGTAAGACCTTAGCCTATTTGCTTCCACTGCTCCAGCGCTATGTCCTCTCGGCCGATCCCGCAGATCGACGTCTCAAGGTCATCATCGTGGCGCCCACCTCGGACCTGGTGCACCAGATCGCCGAGGTCGCACAGGTGGCCTCCTCACGAAGCGAACGAGGCTTCCAGGTGACCAGCGTGGTCGGGGGAGGAGGCGAGAATGCTCGGAGACAACGGAGGCAGCTGCAGAATGGTACTGAAGTGCTGGTGGCAACGCCGGGTCGTTTGAAGTTCTTCATGGAGGAGGACTACGTAGTACCAAAAGACACCTGGCAAAGCTGCAAAGCAGTTGTGATCGATGAGGTCGATGCTTTGGTGGAGGAAGGGAACTTGAAGATCCTGGAGCTGAAAGCTCAACTCCGAGCCCAGCTACAGTGGGTCTTTGTAACTGCCACGGTCTCGGAGGTGGCACAGATGGAGATCCAAGCCTTAGAAGCGCAATTGCAGGTTGAAGCACAAGACCTTGCGCACCGAACTCGGAGGATCCTTTGGACCAAAGGTCCTGGTTTGCACCGGGTCCCTGTGAATTGTGAGCATGTTCTCGTTGATTGCACCCCCTTGAACCTCTATGAGGTGGAGCCCGAGAAGCGTTTGAGCCTGGTGATGAAGCACAAGATTCAAGCCTTGGTCTGGCATTTGAAACGAGGTGTCATGAGAGACGAAGAGGACAATCGAGTGATTGTTTTTTGCAACACCATTGAGAACTGCAGCCGTGTGCACCAAGCACTAGAGGAGGTCAATCCGGATGACCCGCGGAGTGGCAGCAAGCTATGGAAATTGCTCGTGTTGCATGGCCTTCGGGACAAGAAGGAGTACGAGGCGAACATGGCCTTGTTCAGTACAGAGAAGGTCCCTTCCGTAGATTTCTTCAAGCGGCGCATCATGATTTGCACAGACCGACTTTCTCGCGGCATGGACTTCAACAGCCATACTGTGAAGTGGGTGGTGCTGATGGATTGGCCGCGCGATGCGAGGGAGTACATTCGGCGAGTGGGCCGCACAGCACGTGCCGGTGAGGGAGGCAGCATTTTGACTCTCTTATGTGGAAACAAGGAGGCAGCCATGGGGAAACAGATCGCTGCTGCAGCCATTCGCAGCCTTCGCCTCACCACCTCTGCCGACACTGAGAAGACTCGCTGTTTGGAGCGTTTTGACCCCACCGCAGTGGACTGGCGCTCTCCGAAGGCTGCTGCCCGAAAGCCTTTGTGGAAGCCTCAACAAGAGATTGACCGTGAAGCGGCTGAAGAGCAAGCTGAGGATCAGCGAGAGCTTTCAGAACAAGAGCTTCGAGAGCTTTTTGAAGAGGCTGACATGGGCCCGATGGGAGTCGATCTATGGGAAGATGAAGAAGAAGAGATGCGGGCTGCAGACAAAGGATGGTCTCCATGGCAGTCTGAGGGCATGGCTGATGAGGATGACGAAAATCTTTGGGATGACAACCCGTTTGACGAGAATAGAATTGGCATCAGTTTGAACGATTGACAGTGCAGAGGCAGACAAAAGGGTTGTTTTGCGCAGTTCTATGTACTGAGGCCTCAAGAGGTTAGAGTGAGGGGCCTTTCTCTCCTTTCAGATGAAAGCAGACTTGCCGAGCAGTCGAAGCACCGCCCAGGTTGATGGAACAGTTGAAGTGGTGGCAGACACAGCTGAGGCCCAAAAGAATACACTACAGTGCAGCTTTTGTTACTAACAGTTGTTATCCTATTGCATCCTTTTGTGAATCGGCTGTTGCATACGCGCGGGTGACATGAGAAGTGAGACCGTGGGACAACTCGCACTGATGGACAAAATATGACAAAATGATAACACGCAATGATCAATGTCAGTTTGATCATGTGGCGAGCGGGGGTGTTTGACAGGAAGCCACGGGCAGGGCCCTCAGAGCCTAGACTCACATGCCGAGGGCCTTGCACGATGAGATTGATACGTGCTCACCAGCAGGTTTTTTCCTCACCCCTCACTGCTTGCTCTCCACAGGTTCATCGGAGTGAGACGCTTCATGATCTTCCAAGGCCCAGAAGCAGGGCCAGTGGAGCCACCGACCACAGCCGAGACCGACAAGTCAGACTGGCCAGTCTTGAGTCTCGCACGTACGGCATGTTGGAATCCCACAAAAAGGATGACAGAGAGAAGTCGACACATAGTTGAAGTGAAAGACTTTGTGGTGGCTGGTTTCAAGGATTTCTATTAGTTCCGAGCAGGGCTGGCTGTTGCTTTTTGGTGTGCCAGGCTGGCAGGGAGTGCTGAAAAGACAGACGCTGTGCTCTCCTCAGAGTTGCTCTGGGAATGTTGATAGCCTATGAGTATTCCGACAAGATTGTGCGGGGATGTTTTCTTCTTTCTCTTGCAAGATGAGACTGAGTGCATGTGGATGTTTATGTTATTGAAGAATGTCAGAAGAACATTTGTTATTTGTTTATCATTGCTCACTGGCTTTTGTCTCCATTACAGGCATGCAAACAGCAGTGAACCAATAGGGAGACGGATTCGGTACAGTGCAGGCTCGACTTTCAGTGCACCGGAAAATCAGGAGCCAGGAAAAATGGTGGAGAAGATGGCTGTTGTGGGCATCAATCTCAGTTGCGATTGGCTCAGGGCGGTTGCTCCATGGCTGGCTGCTCCATGGCTCCAAGCTTTTGGAGTCTTGGAGTCTATCAGAGCGCTATATCAAAAAACAGAAGGTCTCTTACACAATATATATATATATGTGTATATACACTTATGATTACAATAATATGTTTTGCATAAATAAATGTATATATATATATGTTTTAAGGCTTGCTGATGAGGCGGTCACGCCAGACCCTTTTCGCAGTGTCCGCAGCATAGGTACTGTCCACGCACGGAGCTCTGCCCCCTTCGCAATCTGGCCAACATCAACACCGTTGTTGAGTATTAGAAACAATAAGCTACTAGTAACAAGTGCATTGCTTCTAGTAGCAAGTGCCTTACTACTAGGAACAAGAAGCTATTAGAAACAATGTTCGCTACTAGTGCTTGTTCTTCGTGACCTCCAGTCTCCAAAGTCGGAGCGCTCCGCTGCCGAGGTCGCAAGCGCCTTCGGCGCCAACGCTGTAGCAAGGCCGGTCGTTGGATCAGACGGTGCTGAGAATAATATGAGACCCAGACATGAAGTTGCACCAGGCAGTACAAGAATTTTAGAATGTTTCAAACATCTTAAGACATTAAGATAGTTAAAGTACTTTGTTGATATGTTTTTCAGTTCCTGTAGCAGTTCGCCTGGACTCCACAAATTCTAAGTCTAATGCACCTGCAGCGTCCGTTCTGAGGTCTCGCTGCTGGCAAGGGCAGGCAAAATGCAAGCCCTGCGCGAGGCCTTAGACCACTCAGACTACTTTGGAAAGATGGAAAGGATTGTTTTGTTGGTTGTTGTTGTTGGGTGGTGAACACTCAAAGGGTCTCAGTGGATAGGCTGCAAACAAGCTTGGTTCAAAGCTGAGCATTGTGCAAGGGGCTTGCTCCAGAGAAATGGCGATGAGTATCAAGTAAGGGTGACCTGCGTTGATACTTGTGCACCGGTGACGCTTGGAAGATCAGAAGACTGGAGCTGTGTTGATGACCACTCGCTAGCAGCAGATTCGGATTGCAAAGTGCAAGGCCTGAAAGGTGAAAGCACACCACGCACAGATGCTGTAGTGTTACCACGGAAAGCCGTCCAAGGCCCCTGCAGCAGTCGTACCTCACTATGAGTGTGCGAAAGGCATGCAAACGTGTTTAGTCGAGCCTGGTGAGCCTTGTCTCGTTGTTCCTCGGCTAATTGGAACTGCGGCTTTTGTGAAAGGCGCACCCAAAACGTCTAAAAGGATTCTGGTGTGAACTCGCGAGCAAGGAGCAGCCTAAACAGAGATCCACATGGTTGGATTTGGTAAAGCTGGCTTATGATGCTGATGTGAATTTGCCAATGGAAGTTTTGGGCTGCAAGCGCCTGGCACTTTTGCTGGAAGGTGACAACCAGACGCCGGTGGTTCCAGGCCGTTCGCAGTTGGCAACTGTCCGATTCTAGATCAATCGATGTTCTTTCGCTGTGTCAGTGGGTTGTTGGTGGTACAGGAATTAGTTCAGGAATATCCGTTGCCCAGCTCCCATCAACTCCAACCCCCCTGAAGATATCCAGTTGAGCGCAGGCTCGCAAGAAATACGCTGGGGCGGCCAAGCGGACGTCGATTTGTTGGCGCAGCTTCGGAGTCCACTTGGAACCCTAGTTGGCACGAGCGTAGGTAGATTGATGTAGATTGTGCAGTAGATTGATGCGTATCTGTATCAGCAACCATCCATTTCATTTGGGTGTCTCACCAGCTTCTGAGTGTTCCTAGGTTGGGGCAGAGCCTGCATTGCTGAGGTGCGCGCACTGAAGGCCACCAGCCTGGTGAAGTGCAACAGCGCAGCGCTCTAGGAGCGCAAGCAATCGTCAACAAACAGTTTGACAGCATGAGCATTCCGTGGTTTTGTTTTGTTTTGCGTGTTTTGCATGTCCAGCTTTGGTTTTTACATGTTTTTACTGTGTGTGTGTGTCAATCACCGGATGAAACAGCTGGCTTCACAATCATCATGATAGGTGTGACACAAACGCCGGCAACCCAAGTCGCTGTGCTTTGAGGACTGCAGACCTCACGTGGGTGCCAGCCTCCGATGGGAGCGTGCCCGCCTCCATCCTTTGTCGAGGAGCGTGAGAAAGGACGATCGGTTGACGGCCGACGCGGCTAGTCCTGGAGTGCTGGGGGTGGAAAGAGGAAACACGAAAACCGATTTGGTCACCCAAACTGCAACTGCCTGAGCTCTCTTTTCGATTGCATCGATTTTGCAGCCCCAGTGTACTCGTCATGTGGTATTCTTCGTGTTTCAGCTGTTTGACAAAGATTTTGCAAAGTGTGCAGGTGACGCTGGCCCAACTTGGACAGAGTTGTGGCCTGTGCAAACCAATGCGAGATGCGGGAACTCATTGATTTCCTCCTGTTTGGTCTCAGAGTTCAGAAAAGATTGTGTGGGAAAGATTGGGTTGCGGGATTGTTGCTCCACTACATTCCGCTCTTCAACCGCTTTAAGGGCCACTTTGAGACCAGATCCTTTCACACCTATGTGCTGCCAACCTGTTTCAGGGAGCAAGGGGGCAAGGCACAATGGCCCCCCCTTGTACTTCCTCAAATTGCTTTGGTACTTATATAATATATATAGTCATAGTCACTGTGACTTCCTCCCATGAACATATACACATATATGTGATCCAGCATGAAAGTCAGCACCTTTGTGCAGAAAATAATGTGCTGGAAAGTGCCAAGTTGGTAGCATGGCAGCACACTGACCATGGCAGCACCGGGCAGTGCCACACGCGGGCACAAGTTTTGAGCAGCTTCGGTGTCCTGCAAGCGATTTGCAGCAGTGGATCAGGAAGCCTCGGACAGCCGATTGTTGTGTTAGCAATAGTCACACAGTTGTCACACCAGTTCAGAGATCATCTCAATTTAGACTTGACCATGTGAGCGGTTTGATTTACATGCTGAGATTTATCAAAGCAAACCCAACTGTGTCGTTTGAAGTTCGTGTTTCCACAGGCCAGATTGCTGATTTTCTCAGTGGCATTCGCTGGATTGCAGCCGTGCCAATGTTCTTGGGTGATTCGAGCCGCCATTTCACGTCCACATGATCAATCCTGGCAGTTTCTTATGGCGGCATGAATGCCCGACCTGGGGTATTCCTGGAGGGATTGCACTCATAATTTGCGAAAGCTGTGTGCTTGGCAAGCATTTGCTTATGCTTCCTTCATTGACCATGCAACAATGTTTACATTATTGTACTGTTGTCACTATTGTTATTGTATATATATATATGATAAGTATGTTTGTCATTAGCTGGCATCACAGACCATGGGGTGCAAGATGCACATAAGAAAGGCAACAGAAGGGAGATGTCAGGACCAAGAACATATGTACTAGTCTTGCCAAACGCCGGCATGCACTGCACCGACAAGGAAGATGCACCTTCCTAATGAGCTTCAATGCCCGACGTTTCTAGCATTTTCCGTAATGTAATCTTCGTGCTCCCATATGTTCGCGCTTCAGAGAAGAGAACAGGTGCCGTGCAATTGCAAATGACCTCGCACGGACGTACAGATTCATTGGTTGTTGATAGCTTTCGCAGACATTGGGGGAAAGATGGGGAACGCAAAGAAGCCTTTCAGTGTTGCCACGTCCACTACTTTCGATGTCGGTGTAAAAACAATCACTTGACCGCCCTGAAATGCCATCCCAGATCCCATCTCATAGCACGCTCGGCTCCATTGCAGCGCGGACATGGTGAGATGTCCATCGATGTCGGCATGGATCAAGTTATAGAATCCAAAGGGCCACCTTGCGGGGTCAGGAGGGTTTTTGATTCTCGTTTGTGAGCTGGACCAGTTTCTCCTACAGTTCAGCATAGCTCAGTCGCCTGGATCCTCATGAGATCCTCATGAGACTTGAAGGACGGAGTCTCGAAAGTTCACCAC